ACCCTTTAACTTTTTGTTTTAAAGCATGCAAAAATCCCATTTAATCTTCTTGCAAAAAAAAAAAAAATGCATTGCGAGTAAAATTTTAGATTAGAGATTTATTTTGATGTGCAATCAAAAATTCATTGCAATCATTTTTCATTGCAAAATGGTTAAAGCAGGTAGCACAGCTGTAATTGGTATAAATTTTTTTTCAAAATGTGTAAAAATGATTGACTTCCGGATTTATATAACTTTTTCACTTTTTCATCGGGAATAATTTAAACTATTTATGCTTTACAGTTTTTTTTTTTTTATCCAATTATCATTCCTCATTGTTTGTATTCATTTTTAGTATTATTTTGAATTTCAATTTTTTGCTTAAGCAGGTGGCAGATTTTGAATTAGTATTTCAAATATAAGCAAAAACTGTAGCCTGCTTTTGTCTTCCTTTCATATATCACATATATTTATTTATTTATTTCCTTATTTATCATTTATCGTTCTTAACTTTTTACTCGTTATTCAATTTAGCTAAAAAATAAAATTAACTCAGTAGCAGTTAGTGTTAGCAAGGAAAAATGCATAAAAAGTTTTCAGATTCAGGATTGATAGTAAGCAATTTATTAGAAATTCATCATATATAGTGTAAAATGTATACATGTGATAAAATATTTAATACATTAATATATTTTCATATAATTTTTAGTTTGAATTAAATTTAATATATTATATGCATGATATTACCTTATGATAGGTAATTATTACCGTTAAGGTGCAATGATATTGCATTTATTTTATCATACATGACATATAAACATGCATTTAATGAATGACATAATTTATACATATATTAATTATTCCTACGGCTAGTAGTTTCTCCGATTAAAATGCTTATTTTGGATCGATCTGCAAGCTTTAACATTATTTTTTAGGTTTTTCGAGCAGCGGGAAAACTTATAGCCATCGGTCATCATCATTATCATCGCTTATCACTCACTCGGATACCGAACAGTACGGTTTTATTTTTCCAATATTTATTTATTTATAGCTATTGCAAAATTAAATAGGCAATTTAAACTAAAGATTTGTGAAAGTAGCAATGTTAATTTAAATAATTTTATGCTATGAAAAAGAGAATAAATTTCGTTAAATTTATTCTAAAAGATATTTCTCGGATAAGATAAACTCCCAGGAGAGCTGCTTGTTTACATGTTAATCGTTCTAAAAGCATAGGCAGCATAAAAAGACTGTATATTTTTAAAAATGAATATTTAACATATTTATTTA